AGTCTCTCAAAATAATATTGAAGTGGCAAAAGATGAAGATCAAGTTTAGAAGCTTTCATTTCATCACAAATTTCATTCATAATTGTATCCATTTTTTTACTTAAAATAGAGGAAATACCGGTTATATTTCAGTCAAATACCTTGAAAAAAATATGTACCTATATATACAAGGTGTTAGAAGTTTGATTGCCTTAATTTTAATAGGCGATAGAATACATTAAAATAAACAAAAAAACCTTATATGACATGGGTCCTAAACTCAACCATTTCCGAGGAAAAAATTACCAAAATCTGCTACTTGTACAAAAGTTCGATTAATTAAGGAATATTGACAAGTGCGTGCATAGAATATTATAAAATACTAAAACTCCTTTATGCTTAATTCTAAAAAAATAGCGTTGTAATAAATTTAAAATTCCATAAAACTCATATCGAGCAATGTGACAACAGTGCGGCGGATAACATGAGATACTAAGCTGTCCAGCAATACGCAATTTAACTGGTCTAAATAAACGGTTAATCTTTCGCCACTGTAATATACAACTTTTTTGTTTATTTATGATTACTTTGTCTCATGCTGAAATAATGGCCGTCAAACTTCTTACGCCCTGTATACAAAAGGAAATCGAAAACTACCCAATTTAAAAATTTAAAACGCATTTAATGCATACGATAAGTCCAGAAATGCCCTAATTTTCTTTTCAGAGAAATTGTTGCCAGAATGTTGCTTCCCCACTAAAATATTGTTGTAAAACGCTGTATAAAACTTGAAACCACATTTTCATTCAAATTTCTCCACAGTTCTAGAACAGAATCTTGCAGTCCATCGTAATTTCTAAAGTTAGAGTTGTATGCGACCATTTTTTTAACTATTAAACCTCCCACATTCTCAATGGAGCTTAAATCTGGTCTTCTAGAAGGCCAACTTAAAATGTTAACATTGTTTCCTTTTGTAGCATTATATTTTCCAAAATGATTACTTAACTTTACCCTGTTAGGTATTCTCCAACATCCCAACAAACTCCAGGACTTCCAGACCTAATCCAAGCCCAGATATTTACACCAAAACAAGCACTTCTTACTTGATGCATGTATCTGCTCTCGTATGTGCTCACAGGTCATCAAATACATGGAAAAACCTAAGCGAAAGCGGTCGCTGCTTTAATTTAAAAAAATTAAAGGTTGATAATTCCGCCTCGATTTTGACAGGATTAGATTCCCAACACGAAACCGAGAATTGCACCGCGTAGGGAGTCCGTAACAAATTTATTTTAGCAGTTTTAAGAAGTAACAATAGACTTCCTTAATGTTAGTTAGGAATCTTTGACCTTCTTTTGTTGTTCTCGGTCTAGGCTCTGTGGAGGCGGTTTGACGTTGATTTCGGTTCTTATTGTTGGTTGTTGGTGACTCTGTCTCCATTTTCCGATTTTTTAAGAACATTTTAAGTAAGAAATACATTTCGGGAATCGACTGGGTTAACTCTGTTTAAAGTATTTACTCTTCAAACCATTTTTTGCAAACGAAGCTCCTCTCCAGGGGCGATTAGCTCTGTCCTGCTGCGGAACGGTTCTTAAGGGAAATAAAAATCCGCGGATAAAGTACATTTTCTGCTCCGTGCCTCCCTTAAAGACGAAATTATACGGGAACTGTCACATTTAACAGCGCAGTCAGTGTTCCCTTATCGGAACGGCGAGCATATTTTTTCATTTTGTCTAGAACCCACTCTTTAATGACGCTCACGTAGCTCGCGACGGCAGATGACGTTTTAAAGTCGCTAATGTATTTTAATATAAAGAAATGTGCGAGGTAAGCATGAAATAAATGGTGGCAGGTTAAATTGTGCGTTGGAGATATTCAGTAATGGGGAATCTCTTTCATCGCAGCGGTCATAAACCATCGGGATATCTGCACAAACGACGTTCTGCTCGGCGGCGTAACGTTCTAATAGTGACGCCACTTTCCCGTCATTGGTGTAGAGACACGCGGGGCGCTATTGCCAAAAGCATCTCTACCTATTTTTACCTTTTTTGGGGTAATTATAATACGCCGTCCCCTCTTCCGCACAAATCTTCATATAGCTTCGAATGAATATAAATGTTCACTTGGAGTTAGTCTGTTCCAGACCTTATTCTACTGTCCATAAAATAGATATTCTCTACATTTTTCCAGTGAGATAAAGTGAAAGTGAAATAGTTATTTATAAGTCGAGGACGATTTTGCGCCCGAGCGGAGCGAGGGCTGGCAATAGAGTCCGAGAAAACCTAGAAATTCTCAAGAAATATATCAAGATTAGATTGGAAATTGAAATTTCACACTTTTTGAAACTAGAACATCCTGAAACATATACAGGCCATTCATTCCGAACAACATCGGTAACGTTACTGGGTAACACAGGAATTGATGTATTAGCAATGCCTCAACCCAGATCTGATTGAGTCAAACGGACGTCAGATTCGGATTCGGCGACCCCAAAACCATATGGATACCATGGTCTTGTCTTCCGGACCTGCCACTTTTTTTTTGGGGCTGTGAAATTAATAAAATGTAATGTTCATCAAATATTTGTATATATTTGTTCATAAAATATGCATTTATAGCTCGAAATCGCTTTTTCCTTAGGGTGGTAAGTTACTTCACTTACCTCCCTAGCTGTCCATAACTTCCACTTCTACGGTAAAAATTCATTTAGGTACCTCCTTAAAAACAATGTATTAATAGTTTATTTACTACAATGGGAGCAGATAAATGTTACAAACGCGTCTTTTTGAGACATCCAACGACCAATAAGATGATAAATTATTCGACGACGGGGAAGTCAAACATCTGTCGGGAAGGTTCTCCGGCGTTGTAATTCGATTTAATCATTCCGATTTTTAAAAAAATTCCCGTAATGAAATTGTAATCTCGGAGGCGTTTCCCAGAAGAACGCGTCGAAGCAGCCGCCAAGATAGATTTAAACTGGGAGCGATCTGCATGCGGATAGCCAGCTGTGCCGTGCCATCTACATTCTACATCCAGTCTCATCTGTCGCCTTACACAAACAAAACGTGCGGAATTACTGGGGATATTGATTGAATGGTATAAATCTATCGTTAAATCTATTGGTAAAGGGACTGCTCCAGGCACGTCGGTATACGGTGTCAACGAAGTGAACAACTTCATTCTCTTGAGTTTTAGAATTGGAAGAGAGTGATTTTAAGATTGGAAGACGCTTTGGAGAGGTAAATTAATATTAAATAACGTAAAATATAAATCACCCACAGGAAGATAAAAATAAATAAGTTTAACGCTTTACCCTGTCCAAATATTTTATTCAAAACATTGCTGATGCTCATTAGTCAGCTTTTGCTTGATTTTTCCGGGTCTTCAGTCAGTTTTTGGTGATTTACTGAAGTCCTGTGGACGCTGAAGTAAAACTAACGACAGATTTGGATTTTGTATTTTGTGCGATTGTATAATTTTTTAAAGAGACCAGATCAGGTACCATGAATGCATCCAAGGGAACTAATTCCTTCTGCGACCCCTCAATTCGACATTTTCCAGATTTCCGGATGAGGCTTCCCGCCGCGGCCTGTGCTGGAATGCGCCCGGACTGAATTATTAAAATTCACTCGAAGCGGAAATCGCCCTAAAGAGACCGCGCTGCCTGCAAAAAATGCAGTTAATGTCACGAACTGCTCATAATTTTCAGAGCTAAGCAGCATCTTGCATTATGAATTGCGCCTTACGGAACACGTTTCGCGATTCAATTTAATTTAAAACTGGGCGGTAAAGTGGTCCGATACGGCTATGGAGATAAGGCGGGTTGGTGCTCGGCTTGTTGGAGGCATTATATATTCACTGTGTGGAGGTATTATGGACAATATAAGGGAGAAGAGTATCTAAATCTTGAGAGCCACAAAGGCGACAGATTTGTCTAGGAAAGTATTGTTTAAGTGCAATGTAAAAAAATTTCACACCGATTTTTTTTACAGGGTAGTAGTTGTAACTGTAAAATACAACAAAATACAACGTCAATTATGGAAATCAAACTATGCACGCCAATAAAAGTTTAGAGTCAATAAGCCTGTTTTTAACTTCCTTCTGAAGCTGGAGCATAACTTCTCTGGCTGGTATTAAAATTTACTGTGTACGTTGGTCCTTAACGGAACCCCATGTCATTCCAGTTCTTGATTTTCTAGGATTTCTAAATTCCAGTTAGTTCTAACCCTTCGCGTCGATTGAAATTTTCACGATTCTTTTGAATATCAACGTACTGATGTGTCATATCCTGTTTGTTCATTCATACTTTTCCGCATTCACAAGGCATTTGTATACACCGAAGCCTTTTTTGTCCACGTTATACACTAATGAACAAAAATTGTTTGTCATCCAAACGGAGCTTTAACGACGCCATATGCTAAGTTTAAATAGCTGGGATTTTAGAGCCAGATATTTATTAAAATCCCACAGTAATTTTAGCAGAACGGTGCGAGTAATAGCTGGTATTATGCCTTTATATCTTGACATGGAAATGCTGCATTCAAAGTTCCATGGAACGCGGCCAAGTGACCCAAAGCCTCGCAAGATATTTGGATTGTGGAATCCTTAACCCAGTTCTTTATATTAATACGGGTTATCTACGTTATCTGACGTGACTGACGTGCTGTAACATCAGAAATTATAATCCCATGTGTATGTATCAAAAGTATTTATTTTATATTGTCATAAATAACAAATAGTTTTTTGACAATTTTTTATTCAAGTAGACTGTTCAAAATTATAATACCATAATCATTTTTTTTTATTTTGAAAAGCTGCCGACACTCAGCATCAACAACAATTCTAAAACTAGATTTTGTAGTTCCTTTTCTTCCGACTGAAAAAATATTTTTCCAATTTCTTATTTACTTATCATTTTGATAAAGTCTAACCTGCCGACCCCTTGAACTCACTGTGAAATTATCGGAATAGTTTATAAAGCCTTGCGGTTTTCCCTATCGCTAGTTGTTCCACTGGAAGCAGATACCGTTGAGGACCAGTTTACCAGAACTAAAGACCGAATTGTGATGTTTTGTGTTGTGTCGGTGGTTAATCCGTGAAACATGGATGTGAACAGCAAAATCGATAGTAATTACGATAATAACGATAATTACGACGTTTCAATTAATATACCAGAGGTTAAGCTTCGGCCTGAAAGAGGTAAATTGAATGGAAAGCGAGGCGATTATGGAAATAACAATTTCGGAGCGCTGTTAATCAAACAGTAGAGAAGATTATGTAGATGCTCAAGTTTTTCAATATGTGCACAATAAAAAAATAAAATGTATTGTTTAAAGGTGCCCTAACCACAAAAGTGTGTTTTTCTACAAGGAAAAAAAATTTAAATAATAGATTATTTAGGGTTTAATGAATAACAATAACTTATATTATGACATCTGACTATTTTCAAGCCTAATGGAGAACGACAAACAAAAAGCATCAAGCAACGGGTTTTAAATGTATCTTTCTTCTCTATACAATACAAGTGATACTATTGATTGCAATGAAATATACGTAAAGTTTTCCTTTTTTTATTTTAATTCTGACAAATCAATTTGAGGAGGTTGAATTCCTTATAATCCATCGTTTTCAATGATTTTTTAAATATCAAATCGTCGCCTTTTGGCAGTAAAAATACTAATAATACCTAAATTATAGATTCTAGTTTCTATAATGTATGATTTTTTTTATATGATCGGTGATATTTGAAATCTCTAGCTTTAAAATTACATTAATTTTTCTACATTTTGCGCCCTCAACTTTGTCAAATGAATTATAAACTATATTTGGGATCAAGAATCTAGAAATATTTTCCTAGACATTTCTATTTGAGGTGTTATAGAAAAATAATGCACCATGAAAAAAAAAACAAGACGATTTTTTCTTATACATCACAGGTATATCCTCTTTTGTTTTCTCTGAAATAGAGTGATTTAGCAAAATTTGACAAGAGCACATCTTTTGATTAAAATTAAACTATAAAGTATTTCACTTTTTTAAGAAAACGTGAAACAACCTAAACTTGGATAAATAGCGCCAATAAAAAAACAACGCTTTTGTTAGAAACTTCAAACGTTCACTATAATCATAAATTTGTTGTGCTGAATTCATTTATGTAAAGAGAACTATAGCATTGCATACAAAATTCTTGATAAAAATCCATAAAACGGCATTCTTTTGAAATAACGCCATCTACAGGTTTCCATATTGAGGTAAATGACATTACGTATTCACCACGAGATAAAGCATGAAAAGACCTTTCCAATGAGGTATAACACTGTGGGCTTTTGATGAACCAATCCTTAAAAAAACGCATTTTACATTAGTGGCTTCCCCCACCCTTTCTGTCGAAAAATAGAACAAAATGTCTATAACAAAAGTTATGCCTAAATAGGAAACATTTCTGAGAAAAATTTAACTTTATGTTTTGAAAACTATTTCCAGCGATTTCTCTTGGTCGATTTGTTATTCAAAATTTTTTTTGTAGGGCCTATACTTTCCATAATATCGTACCTCGCCGACCTTAGTGGGACACCCTGTACAACTACTACAATTTGTCAAAATATTCATAGAAAAAAAAAGAAATTGAAATCAACACTATTTGCTCTGTGTTGTAAAAATAGTGCAGTTTATTAAAAATAAGAACCGCAAGAGTATACCCACGATTCTGAAAGAAAATATTTACTGTTTTCCAAGGAAAACCGCAAAGTACGCACCTAATTAATAACTTCCGCCCAGATTATCAGGCAACGCAATCGAATGACCTTTGCGGGAAACTGGTATATTTTCAGCGATAAATTGCTGGGGATACATCAATTTTTAGGTCAATAAATCCGATATTAAAATAAATCCGCATTAATATTCCGGCGGTTTTAATTCTGCGAAATTTGATTTTATTTCCGTGGTAGCGGAAACGGATATCGAAATAATTTTATGAAGAGATTATAAAATTGGGGTCGATGGGAACCTCGAAGTTTTACTTGTAGAATAATGGAAGAGAAGAGTGATTCGTTTTTAGTTTTATGATCTACAGATATAGGTGGTGTTTGATCGAATTAATTTCCACACAAAGCGTATCTGATATTTGATCAGACGTTTAATTAAACGAAATTTATTTAATTTTGGAATAATATTAATTTGTTTTGCATATACAGGCCGCTGAAACGTGCAAATGTTTATTAATTTAAACTCTGAAATTGTTACAAAACAGATTTTTTTAATTCAAACCCAAAAATGTTTAGGTTTGTGCAATGGACTGTCATCTGAAGAAACCTTAATTATTGAACCTGAAATGACCAAAGTAATTATAGCTGAAAGCGCTGCTTCCAGAAAAAGTCGAAGGCAAGGTAAGATACTTCACTTTGTATATACTTATTTGTTTTACTGCTGTCTACATAATTTGCAAGTTATTTTAGATTTTTAAATGCCATATGTTATCCTTATTAAATTAATTGATAAAATATTTAACATAAATAATCTACTTCTAATTTCGTTCTATTTAAAAAAAAACATATTTAACTTCTTATACAGGGTGGCCAAATGAAAACGAAAATGTGCCATTTTCAGGAACTGCGTCAAGATTGTAGAAAAACGCTCAGACCCGTCGATTTTAGATTAAAGGGGGATATTCTTTGCTGGTATTTTTGACTCCGCCACTTTCACCCCCAAGCAAAGCATCACCTCAAAATATTTAAATGGCATTGGGGGTTGAGTAATATTTCATTTGAAAGCTCTTACAATTCTCTTTACAGACTTTAAATCTCTGACGCAGTTCCTGAAAATGGTTCTGTTTCCTTTTCATTTGGCCACCCTGTATTTCAAAAACAAAAGACGATATGGTACATTGGAAGATATCGTCTTATTTTTCAATTATTCACAAATTTTTTTGTAATCACTTCTGCGATTACATATATTGTTGTTATTTTCATTGTTTACCTATAAAAAATTATTGGATTAATTAAGAAAAATATTATTCCGATATTTGTGCCATTTTCCTTAGGTACACCTGTACATCGTGCTTGTATATTTTCGCTTGGCTTTTGAAATATGTAGTTAGGGATCACATCTTAATGCTTTCCGCTCGTATTGATGTTCGCAGATCATGTTAAAAGCCCTTTGCCTTTGTGTAGTTCCTTTTCAACTGAAAAGACGGATCAATTATGATGTCACAGGGCAGCGGACCTCTCATTATTTTTGCACTGCCGCTGGCGTTCCACAGTCTGAAGTGGAGACGAAAAGGGACACTTTTTCGTCTGAAGGGTTCTTCCGCTACCTTACAAATAGCACAAAATAGGAATAATGTACGGTTAATATTATGAACTGGTCAAGATAACGAATGAACGAAGGAAAATAAATTTCAGGCGCTTATTATAATTTTGTGTAATTTAAAACGACTTTAAACTGACGTTGTTTGATTAGTTTTTGTTTTTTTTTTAGATGAAAAAGGAAAGGATAGCGACTCTGGCAATAGTGAGCACGAAACTGAAAAAAACTTTGACGAATTGGACGGGCCCGACAAAAAAATGCGTCTTGTAGAAGAGGAAATGTCACTTCCTGAAGAAATAGAAATTGAAGAGGCAGAAAGCAAAAAGGTCAACAGTTTTGCTGCTAAAAAGACAGTTGCACAAGGTAGCGTTTTTAGTATATAAAGTATATTTTACAGTGTTTGTTATTTATTTTTTTTTCTTATCTATATTGCAATTAATTGACAAAAACAAAATTGCTATGCGAGTATAACCAGAGAAAATAAGTTATAAATAGAAATCGGAAACTTTGTGGCGACAATAAAATAAATAAAAGGTAGTAGCAAAAATACGTAAAATCTGTGGTCAATAATAAATCAATCTATTGCAACTGGATATCATTAATATTTTCCCTACATTTTTCCACCTGGCTTTAATTTGAAGCTTATTTGTTGAAGGTAATTCTTATACTCAATTTTTTAGAGTAAATATAAACAGTTAAACACTTGTTAAGTTTAAATAACAGTTAAACGGATTTAGATTAACTTAATCTACTTATGTATGTAAAAATTAAAATTCATGAAACCATCTTTTCCTTTTTATTCCACAAAATTTATTACAGACAAGATTCTCTTTGTTAGATTTAAGAAAATATGGTCGGTTTAATAAAAAAACGTGAAAATATAATTTGTTCAAATATTTACTAAAGAAGAGGAATCATTTACCTCGACAATTTCTTTTTACGGTGTTATTATGGATGTTGTATTAAGCTGCTTACTTCGCACGGATAGGGTTTTGTGTTATTGTAGAAAGAAACCTAACAAAAACCCTCGATAACTTGTACATTGCGTAGAGGGTGCCGTTGACCTTTATTTTATGTAATATAAATGATTTTGGACTGTCTCGCTAACGTACAAGACGACGCTTTTAATTCCTAACATATATAAGCTTATCTACTGAAATCAAAAATCAAAATAAAATTGATATATCCAGAAGAACACTGTGAAGTTTCATCTTGATCTAACAAACAGTGTCTTTGTTTCAAACAGTCAAACTTTTGAAACAATTTAAGTCACGTTTTTTGAGCTTAAACACTTTATAATCGTCATTAAAATGGGAAAAAGAAATTTTTGAGGTTTTCTCACATTTGTACAGCAAATAACGTTTAAATTGATAAAAAAAAGAAAATATTTTCAAAATTTTAAAATTTTTTTGATTTTGATTTTTTTTTAATTTTTTTTTGATTTTCTGGCATTGAAGAAAACGAAATCCAATTGCGAGATAACCTCAAAAAATTTTTTTCCCATTTTAATCATGATTATGAAGTGTTTAAGCTAAAAAAATGTGATCCTTTTTATTTTATTCGAAAGTTTGAAACAAAGCAACGTTTCGCTAGATCCAGATGAAACTTCACAGGGTTCTTCTGAGTATATCGAACTGTAACATTAGTCATTTCGTGAGTATTTCTAATTTAGCCGCCAATTTTCTAAAAAAACCATAAATTACCCTTTTTCCTGTTTTTTAAAATTCGTGTAAAAGATGAAAAAAAAAATTCCTAAAAGTTTCGGCATCATGTTACAGGAAATTTATTTCAATTTTCGAAACTATCCTTCAATTAAAAAAAAAGGAAATTGAAGCTGAATAAACTAAACAATCTCTCTGGTGCATGCAATGGCTTAGCTGAAAAAAATTTGGAAAACTTTTTTGTCGCGCTATTTCTTGCGCTTGCATGATAAACGTAGCTCCTAAAAAATTTCGACAGAAAGATCTAAAAACTAGAATGCAGCTTCAAAATGCTTTTTTTAATTCCCGATACGACCATTTTTCACCTAAATACAGCCTGTCTAAAATCACGGAAAAATTACGGAAATTCTTTTGCCCCTTTAATTTTTTGCATTAGTTTATAAACCCGAATCCTACCTAAATTTTAATTTATTCTAATCCTAACTTGATCCATACATGACTAAGTGGCAGCACAGCAAATCTCGAAGACTACACTAACACTCCAGAAAGACAAACAGAAGCTATTTCCATACTTATCCCACACCCAACCGCCTACTATACTACGAACTAACTTGTATATTAAGGCTACCAAGATAGTTCTTTAATGCAATTACCTTCACCGAAGGGTATATCTTGCTAGGGGATTTAGTTGATTAATATTTGATTTTAGAACATTACACGAAGGCATTAGTTAATTTATTACAAGGCCAATGTGGTTATGTAAGATGCGAATCAGTTATTGGTAACAAGATATTAATTTGTATACGGCATGTGTTTAGTTCTGTACTGAAGGCCTACGCAAAGTTAGTTCTATAATGACTCAGAGTCTATAGAGTGCCCCTTTTAAGAAGGGTTGTTTCATAACTCTGTTAATAACTTTTATTAAAAAAATTTCCTGGTAATCATTGTGATTTTAGGTATGATGGACATAGCCCTGATTACAGCCAACGCGAATCAACTCCGCTACATAATAGAATTTAATAGCAAGAGTTCGACATTCTATCTGATCGTCATTCTAATATCGTTTTCACTGGTGCTACAAGTTGGCGTTGGAATGGCGTTAATATTTAAGGGAAGGTTGGATATCAAAGGCCGATCGAAAGACCCGGATGCAAAGAGGATAAACAACTACGTTGTCGTTGCCATCTTCCTCGTCACCATCATCAATGTCTTCATAGCTAGCTTCACAGTTACCGGAAATAATAACAATGTATAAGAATGCGGTTTGGGTTAACTATTTTTAACAAATATAATTAAAATAATAATACACATGTCTGTATATATTTATAATTTTTTATTAAATAGTTAAGAGCAGGTCTAGCGACTTTAATTTTTTGCTTATCACAAAGTCCAATAATAGAAAGAAAATTGTTGGTATATAACAGTGTCATGATACAAGTTAGTTCTAAACTTATTAAAAAAATTGAAGACTGATGTAAACGATAATAGGAGCCCTGTGAAAACCACAGTAATACTGAAGAAATAAAAAAATCGTCGAATAAAATCAGTTCGAATGAAGTTAAAATCCATTTCAATAAACATACTTCAGTCGAACAAATTTTTTTCTCAAAATCCGTAAGTCTTTCCTGTACAAACAGAAACTGATAACTTCACTCAGCACCAGAAAAACTTGAAGTACCTTTTCACCTCAGGAAATTTTTTTAACGTAACATCCAATTTGCTTTGTAACTAATACGATCGAAAATTCTCTGGCCTTTCCCTAATTTGTTGCGTTTGCGTCCAAATCCTATATACAGTAAACAAACGAATGGAAGATATACGGGAAAGAAGGAAAATTTCTACAAGCACCCGACTATACATATTTACATCAGATAAACCCTTTTTATTCCGCTACGGAAACACACTAGGATACGTTAACTCCCCATTTATTCACAGGCTTTTAGGCTCAGTGTAATGCCAGATAATCCGGGAATCTTTTGTTCAAAAATAACGGATTATTACACAAATATATCACATGTTCTTTGAAAGCGAACTGATCCACTAGGCTTATGTAGAATTATTACCTTGTTGTCTGCTACCTTTTTCTTCAATGAGAAGTGTGTCGATTGCGGTATTATTTTGTATCAGTTGTAAGGCATTAGAAATCCAGACCTAAATCAGAGTTTTTCTGCTTTACATTCTGTTATTTTAAATTTCACCTTCGTGCATATTTAAAATATAAAATTTTTGATAACCAAATGTACATGGGGAGTATATGATATTCCATACCTGCCAAGGCAATTGATACCAAGTAACTTGTTTAGCTTATGTGATTTTTTCCTTATGTCATCTAAACTTCACTATATTGTATCAGTTTAAAATTTTATATTCGAAGAGCGCTAGATATAATCCTATTGAAAACTTCCCTTCCAAAATATTTATCGCAGATATGGCAAACCGCTTCGCCCAACAAATTGTTGGAAAATCAACTTTCATTTTAAATTTTAATTCGGCGATTTGCATTCGCAACGTTCCACAATATCCCGTAATTTTAGTATCTGCTCTTCCCAAACAAGCGCTCGTCAATAGTAAAAACACAACCTACGCCGGCCGCAATCTAACGCCAAAATGGAATATTTAAATAGTAATCCCAAATGAAAACGGAGTTTAAATCGTTTGTCCCTCCCAGAAGGAATCGCTGTACACGACTTGTATATCCGATGTCGGCTAACCCTTCGAATTTTAACAAGCCTCAGTAACAAAACTCTACGGAGGCGTTGACGCTGATGTGATAATTTTCGTTGACTAAGCAGAATCCTAAAGGAAAATGAATGTGAATATTCCTCTGAAATATACAGGGTGTGGCGTGTATAATCTGTATAAATTGAACTACAGCTTCCTAACGATATTTGTAATAGAAAAGTCTTATACGAAAAAGTTCTATTTTCCGAACTTGTAATGCCATATCGTCAAATAATTCAGTGAACCAGTTCTCCAAAAAGTCAGCATATGTTGGTCCATTTAGTGGTCCTTCAAAGAAATAGGAACCCACAAGTACAGCGCCTATTATGCCAGCCCAAACATTTAACGAGAACCGATGTTGAAAATGAGTTTCCCTAATCGCGTGAGGATTTTCATCGGCCCATAGAAATTCACTTCATCGCGGGTAAATGTCGTCTCATCTGTTACACAAACATAAGCAGGAAAGTCTACTTGATTGGCACATTGCCGTAAAAACCATCTGCAAAAACGTATTCGTTGATCACAATCCGGGGGGAAAATCTGTTGAACTGGTTGCAGATGATAGGGGTGCAACAGCGGGCGCCTTAAAATGCGAAGTACGGAGTTGAGATTCCAACTTGCTGTGCGAGTCGTCGAGTACTAATTGTGGGGTCTTCGTCAAGGTTTTCCAACACTGCATCTACAACATTAAGGTTCACTTGCTGACCACGTCCTTGTCCTCGAGGAATAACACTTCCCGTATCTCGCAGCCGCTGAACGCACTGTAGGATTGTATTGTATACAATTGTATTGATTGTATGATTGTATTGTGTGTGTAACACCATATCGACACGTTCGGAAATAGTAAATGCATTGTCTTCTCGGTTCATTGTAAAACGAGTTTGTGCACAAACTAAAAAATTAAGCAGAGCAAGAAATAAGCATCTCCTTTTTAATGTAATCGGCACGCTATTCTTATTTTTTACTTCTTCACTATCGTGGGATTACAAAATAAAAACTTCTGTCTGGAATCTTTCACTTTTTAATAAATGAACTTTAATTTACAAAAAAAAATCGAAGATAGAACTTTTCGTATAAGAGTTTTCTATTACAAATATCACGAAGCTGTAGTTTAATTTTTATAGATTATACACACCACACCCTGTCGTGTACTTTTATCAGCCTCATATACGTGCACTACGTAGATTAAATCTTATTGTGGTTTTTGACACACGTGTCGAAATAAGTACCAGTCTTTGAGATATTAGTGAGTTTTAGCTCCGACAAAATGTAATTCTAATGCACTTCACTTCAGTATCCTTGACTCAAAGCTTCTTTGCCTGACTGTAACGTCCTTAAACAGAAATATACAAGTGACACAGAACCATCTAATTAAATTGCGATTCTTTCCGAGTTAAATTAATGCGGTTCCTCCGTCTTAATTTACAACCCTTTCATCACATTTACCCCGCTCGACTGCCAGCGACAAAGAAAAAAGACCGGAGCATATTTAAATCACCCTAAATTGCAAAGTGATACAACGTTGCGCGTGGCATCTGAAATTGTATTTATTTTCAAGAGGGCGCAGGGAAAATCCGGTCGACAGAAAACATTTGAATATAGCAAAAATTTGCTCCTCAATCGATTGGGTGACGAAAATAGTAACAATTTACAGTAGCAGTCGAGAACGTAAATCGAGTGCGCTGTGTGTTTTTGATTATTTCGTTTCACTGTTATTTTTTCGTTTTGTTTTTGGTTTAGTATCACATTCGACGGCAAATTTTTAACACATCAAATCAAATACATACACTGTGAGATTTATACGAGAAACTTTTTTTTGTGTAATTTACACTCTTTATTACACCGCGTTTGCTTTATTTTTAATGATTTAATCTTTATAAATGATAAATAAAATGTCAGGGTTATCCAAGATCTGCTTTTTAACTTCTGTATTTGGAAAACGATTAAGTTTAAGAACAATGTCATATAATAGTTTTATGTTTTCTTGTTCGGGTTAAATTGGTGTAAAATCTATACCTACATTTAATTATATGCAATGTATAGGTATAAGGTTTGGACTTTGGAGATGATGCTCAGTCTGTAAGGTCGTCACGACGATAAACCAAGATTGGTATCTCGCCGTATATAAGACAACTTGTTAAAATAAACAGCGACATCATCACACAGTACATATTCATAATCCCGGAGTAATAACCGTGGTGGGGAAGTTTATCCCGAATTACTCTTGTGTACTCCTCGTGTTTGGGGGTAAGAGCGTTGCTTTACGAGCGCCAGATCTCGCTTAAATGTTCGGATTAAATAAGACAGAAAATCTCCGTGTCCTCGTAGCCCTCGTAATTTTAGCCATTAGAATGCCTACACCTTACTCTCCTGTTCAGAGAATCCTATCGTTGCGATAGCTGCTGAAAATTTGCTTATAAAACACAGTACAGAACCATATTGCTGCTTAGTTGAGTGCCTAAGGAGGATTTATTGTCGAGAAAAGTTCCCGGGTTACACGGTAACAATTCCTCTTAAGGAAGGGCAATTACAACGATACAAGAAGTACTTTAATGAAAAAAATGTATGAACACTCACAATTATACGTCGAATAATTCTTTTTTTTTTAATCGTTACGTTCTGTGGGATATGTCATGGAAATTAATTCGTAGTCTGAAAATATTAAGTAAAACAACTACTCCGCGGACTACTGCTCCGACTAGCGTCTAGTAAAAAGCTAGAATCATTCGTCAGCCGAACCACCAGGCATATACCGGTTTCAAACTTATTAGGTGAGATGTAACAGTGCTACGTCTATGGGTGGTCACTTCTACTCTGTCAAAATTGATTGTCCCAACTATGCATACCAATGAGAACTATTAAGCTTAAACGCGGTATATGTCTGGTGGTTCGGCTGATGGCTGATGCTAGTTCTTTAGCGGATATTGCGGGTATAATTCAATATTGATATTCTATCTGACATATTTTTTTCAGATTTTCCTAAAATGTGTAAATCACGTTAATTTTTCTGCATGGTTTTGAATATTTAAACTTCCCAGAAGTTCAATTTAAATTTAATGTGCATTTTGACTTCAAGGATGAAAGTCAAAGTTCCCTGAAGGATTCTTTTACTTTTCCTAATTAAGTTATTAACTACATAAAGAGAATAACCATTCATTCTACCCATAACCTTAATGAATTTCCTGCCATCACCAAAGAAGGAAGTTTTGTCGTGGGTGGACTAAAAAATAATTTAACGCAGCTACTTATTTTACGTTGATTGCAGCGTTATGAGTTATTTTAGAAATAACTAAATAAATCATAATTTAAAAAAACTCTAATATACAGGATGTTACAATATTCCACCGGCAAAGTTGTAAATATCAATGATAAGAAAAAATGTGGATGTTTCATTCAAATCCTGTACAAGCAACACTTTTTTGAGTTCTAAGGAAATTATAAATGGGGTCCAAAGGATTAAAAAACAATAAGTATAATCCCTGGTGGTGCTGACCTTTGCCTTTTGCGAACATATGACCCATAGAGTGACCTTCAACTCCGACGACTTTGACCCTCAGGTCATTAATCTCTGAGTTCAAAGTCATTGACCTTTGACCCTTAGGACCGTTGAGCATTGACTCAGGGGT